ATTAAAAAAAAATTCAACAGACACAGAAAGGGCATTTGGCAAAATCTATAACTTCTCAATAAGGACACCCATCGAATTAGAAATAGAAGAGAGCTTCCTGAGTCCAAAAATGAACATCTATGAAAACTCTGTGGTGACTACCGTTTTCATCAGTTATCTCCTACTTTCTCTTGATTTATTTTGCTATTTGTGTTACAGATTCAAGATTTAGTTTATTTACTTTTAATTTTTATCCTCACATGTTTAAAGCATAATTTATTTGCAACTACTCACTATAAAGACACAAGTGTGGGGCCAGCCAGATAGCTCAGTAGACTAAAGTGCCTGCTTAGGCAAGCTCAGAGATCCCCAGGGTTCAATCTCAAGTGTGCCAGGGTGTGCTGCAACATCAACTGAGACTGGGTATGGTGGCGCACACCTGTAATCCCAACACTTGGGAGGCTGAAAACAGGAGGATCACTACAAGTCTGATCTGTGTAGTAAGACCTTATAAACCCTGTACTAAAATACATTAAAAACTAAAAAATAAATAAATAAAAAGACACTGGTGCCTTGAGTTCTATATACTCATGATCCTTAGGTGAAGAGAGAGGTGAAACAGAGGCTCATCCTTAGGGCTCCAACAACCATGCCTTTTCAGCTGAGTGGCTGGGTCCCCAAGCACTTGCTGTTCTGCTACACTTGGCTGGTCATGGGTGCACTAGAACCCTGCTCAGGAAGGAGCCCTGGGGAAATAAATTAGATATGAGTTCAACTTCTCTCAAGAGAAAGCTTTCAACTCTCACAGTACAAATCCAGAGAGGTCCAGAACTCTCCTGTCTGCTGTCAGCAACACCATGAAGCCTGAATGGATCCACTCTTCTCTTTGGCTGTGGCTCCTCATCTTTTCCATGCTTTTCCACACACTTTCAGGTGGCATATTTTCTGAAAATCTCAGCGAAGAACTATGTGACAGTGGACATCTTGGAGGTAAGGCAAAATCAGATGCTCAACCAGGAAGAAACATGGAGAGGGAAGTCTAGGCAGTCAGGATGGTGTTGCTGCCAATAACCAGGACCAAGCCCTCCTCTTATCTCAAATCACAGGGCTCCACAGAATATGATTACATTGAAGTCCTTCTATGGGTTGAGGAAGGTGGAAAACAGAAATTACAATCAACTTCAGTTTCTACCAATATTTCATTACAAAAGGACTGGAGATTATGATGACTGGATTGATTTGAGCAGTACCCAAGAAAATTCTGTGTGTGTGTGTGTGTGTGTGTGTGTGTGTGTGTGTGTGTGTGTGATGAATACCAATTCTATTCAACACATATATGAAATACAACCACTATGGTATATTTCACCAATACAGAGATGCAGAAGCTATAATTTTCATGCTTAGGGCATTCCCATTCTACTTATTAAATTCTCTTTATTCAAATTATAATGGACATATATCAAAGACTCCAGGTAGTCTGGAGAGATAGTTCAGTGGTCTAAGTGCCTGCCTGGCAAGGACAAGGACCCAGTTTAATCCCCAGCACCACATGTGGTGGTGCTGTGCCAGCCACCGAGTCCAGGCGTGGTAGCCCATGCCTGTAATCCCGGAGCTGGGGAGGCTGAGACAGGAGGATCACTAGGAGTCCAAGCTGTGTAGTGAGACCCTGAATCAAATAAATAAAAGATTAAAGACTCTAGGTAAGAAGAGGAAATTGCTGAGTGTGCATAAAGACTGTAGTTGAACTTTAAGAAGACTAACTTTGATTCTTCTTTGTCTCTTACATGGTCATCATGACTCCTACTCTAACCATCAACATCCAATATCTCAGTAAGGAAAGGTGAGTCTAGATGCGCATATAAAAGGGGAACAGAATGAGAGAGGACACAGACTCTTCTCAGGGAAAAGAAGGTCTGCCAGACTAAGTATTTTCACTCTGTCCTGTGGGAATAGGTATAGGAAGTCAAAGGTTCTTTTAAGCCAGGTGTGTGGGTGCATGCCTGTAATCCCAGCACTTGAAGAGGCTAAAGCAGAAGGATTATCCCAAGTTCAAGGCCAGTTTGGGCTACATATTTTCTTTCAAAAGTATTTTTAGTACATATATTTGCAAAAGCTCTGGTAATGATGGAAATTAAAGAGTCCATGTGGTAGTTCTTTTTCATTAGTACATGTTTGTGTTACAAATTACAAATGATTGCATTTGTTTGGTGAGTTGGTTCAGGTACCTACCGATCTCCACTTTTTTCAGCCCCTTTTCTTCACCTCCTTCCCCCACCTTTAATCTCTTGATCCCTTTCTCATTTGAAAAGTATCTCCCTGCTTCCTATTATCTCTCTTGTATTTTGCTCTTTACTTACACTTTTCATTTGTAATGTAAGAGAAACAATGAGACATTTAAGCTTGTGCATCTGATTTATTTTACATAATATGGTCTCAAGATGCATCTGTTTCTGGGCCAGCCAGATAGCTCAGCAGACTAAAGTGCCTGCTTAGGCAGGGCACAGACCCTGGCAGGCCAAGCTGGCCCTGTCCCTGGGGTGAGCTGAGATGGCGATTGAGACAGGGCATGGTGGGGCGTGCCTGTAATTCCAGCTCTTAGGAGGCTGAACACAGGCAGATCACTATGAGTTCAATCTATGTAATGAGATACTGCAGACCCTGTAGGCCCTATACTAAATATGTTAAAAAATGCATCTATTTCCCTATAAATGACTGAAGTTTAGCCTTCTTGATGGCAAAGGTATACTCCATTGTATGCAGTTACCACCACAATTTCTTTACCGATTCATTTGTTTATGGGTGTAGAGGTAGAATTCAAGAGTTAGCTATTATGAAATCTGTTGCTATAAATATGGGTATGCATGTATCACTGTAACATAACATCTGTCTTAGTTACTCTTCTCTCGTTGGTGGGACGAATACCCAACACTCAAAAAGAAGGAAGGAAAGGTTTATTTAGCCCACAGTTACTGGAGATTTCACGTTTAAAACAGCCTGGGGCCAGAGAGATAGCTCAGTAGAATAAGCGCTTGCCTGGCAAGTGCAAGGGCCTGAGTTCAATCCCTGGTTCTGGAAAAAAAAAAAAAAAAAACAGCCTGAATTACACAGCAAGACCTCAGAGCCTTATTTGCTCAGGAGAGAGGGTCAGTGCCTCTGTCTTCTCCACACATCTTTTCCCTACAGGAGGCGGCCTCAATCGCAGACACCGCAGTCCCATGCTACAGGGTCTGGAGGAGAGGCTGGAGTGTCAGGTGACCCTCTCCACACCTCCGAGGGAGGCCGCTGGCCTGAGGGGGCAGTGCGTGTTGTCAGTTTAACGCACCTCTCTGGCCCCGCCCCTCAAGCTCCGCCTTGGTCCTCTGGCCCCACCCTTCAATTCACTCCCTGCTCCTGGAGCCACTTCTGCCCCATGACTTACTTACCTGAGGCTTTAGGTGGACAACTAGACACAAACCATAACAACATCTTTAGCTTTTGGGAAGAAAAAATGGGAAAGTGCTGGCTCCAACGGAATTTCTAATTTTAGTTTTGGAGGAATGTCCATACTATTTCCATAGTTGACATAGTAGTTTACATTCACACCAACAATGTATAGTGTTTCCTTTTTCCCTGCAGCCTTGCCAGCATTTGATATTTGATTTCTTGATGGTAGCATAGCTACTCTTTGGGGGATTAGACAGAATCTCGGCATTGTACTAATTTACATTTCTCTAATGGCCAGTCATGAATATTTTTTCATGTACTCATTGCCCATTTGTTGTTGTTCTTCCAGGACATATCTATTCATTTCAGTTGAGAGTTTTTTAATTGAGTCTTTTATCTTGGAGGGTCTAATTGTTTTTACATCTTTTAGTCTGTAGTTCATTGATAAATGCTCAGCTATTTAGAATTTCCTTCCTCGTACTAGCTTTGGATTTGTATTGTTCCGGTTTTCAGGACTTAGATGTGCATTATTTATTTGTACTGACTCTATTTTTGTCATGTTGCCACTCACAGCCATAAACTTCCATTTTAGGACCACTTTCTATGTGTTCCATACATTCTGGTATGTTGTACTGACAGACTGCACAAAATTTTCACGTGTTTCCATAGTTTCTTTTGCAACTGAGCTCTGGTTCCACTGCACTATGATCTTACAACATGCATGGTATAAGTTTAAATCTTTTGCATCTACTTAATCATGCTTTACTGGATAGTATGTGGTCTTTTGAAAAAAGTTCCATATGCTACTGAAAAGAACGTGCATTCCATCACTATTAGGTAGAGCAACAGTAGACATCTACTGGGTCCATTTGCCCAAAGTTTTGGTTAAACTCTAATACTTTGGGCTTTTGGGGTTTTTTTGTTTTTGTTTCTGTTTTTGTTTTGTGGAACCGGGGATTGAACTCAGGTCCTTGCGCCTGCCAGGGAAGGGCTTACTCCACTGAGCCATCTCCCCGGCCCAAATAGTATGCTTTTTTTTTTTTTTTTTTTTTTTTTTTGTGGAACAAGGGATTGAACTCAGGTCCTTGCACTTGCCAGGCAAGTGCTTATTCCACTGAACTATCTCCCCTGCTCAGTTTTGGGTTTTTTTGGTTTTTTTGGTTTTTGGGGGGGGTTTTCTGGTCTAGTTGATCTATCTATTATAGTGGGGTATCAAAGTCCCCCATTATAATTATATTACTGTTCATCTGATATTTTATATCTAGGGGTGCTCTGTTTATGAAATTGAATGTCCTAATATTTAGTGCTCAGATGTTTATAATTGTTCCCTTAACCAGTGTGTAATGCCCTTCTTCACCTCTTCTGATAAATTTTGACCTAAAGCCCATTTTGTCTAAAAATAGGATAATTATTCCTGCTTTGTTTTGGTTTCTGTTGCATGGAATATTGTTCCTCATCCATTGACTTTTAGTCAGTGAATTTCTTTTTGCATTAAATGCATTTCTTGTGTACAGTATTCCATTGGCTTTTGTCTCTTAACCCATTCTGTCAGTCTGTGTCTTTGGTTGGAGAACTAGGACCACTCACATTGAGTGTCATCACTGAAAAATATTGATTTATGTCAGTCATGGTACTATTTTTCTGTTGTTGATTCCTTTTCTTTCCCTTCTACTTAATTGACATCTTACTAGTGTATTCACTTTTTTTAGACTTTTGTTTACATTGTTAGATTCATTGTCTCCTTCTAGGATATTCTTGATAAATTTTTGGAATGCTTGCTTGGTGATTATGAGTTTCTTTACGTGTTCTTCATCATAGAAATAACTTATTTCTCCACAAATGTTGAAAGTCAGTTTTGCAGGTTATATCAATCTGGGTTGGAAGTTGTTTTGTTTTAGGGCTTGCTTGAAACACTTCACTCCAATCTCTCCTGAACTTTAGGATATGTATTGAAGACTCTGCTATAATTCTAGTAATGTTTCCTTTATAAAGTGATTCACTTTTTTTCTTGAACTGCTTTTAAGCTGTTTTTGTGTTCAACTCCTGAAATTCTGGAATATCATATATTCTATGATATATCATGATGCAGTTCTTTTCTGATCCTAGCTATGTAGGATTCTATATGCCTCACTTATTTGTATGTTAAATCCTTTTCCCATATTTGGGAAGTTTTCTGCTATTGTTTCTATAAATGGGCTTTTTATGCTATCTGTGCTGTTTTCTAGGTGGGCTTTTGATTTACTAATTCCAATTAATCTTAGATTTGTCAACTTTGCATCACCTAGGACAAAGAGTAGCTTTACTCTCTATGGTCTCTATCCTTAGGGCTAGAACTGATGGCCATGCCTGTTAGTTCTCTCTGAAGAGATAAAATCTCAAAGATTATCCTCTCTCCTTGGGTGTCACCCCTGCCCATGATCAAGTTAAATGATTGTTAGGTACTTATATGTTAAGAAGAACAAAATATAGAGTTAGCTAGGAGTTGGAAGTTTCATCCAGCCATGAAGAGAGTAAAGTTGGCTTTGAATGGGTGCCACATGTTCAGCTATTTTCCTGTCATGCTATTATGGGTATAGCTGCTCTCTCATGCCATTCACTGAATGGCATATGTTAGGGGAATCAGGTGAGATATTCACTTCCAGTGACATGGGAATTATTTGAAGTCAAGGGCTGGGGAGATGGCTCAGTAGAATAAGTACTTCCCTGGCAAGCTCAAGAGCCTGAGTTCAATCCCCAGTTAAGACCATTTGAAGTCAAGAAATGGGATATATTTTATACAAACAAGGAATACCTTGAAAAACTTCACCTTAAGGTCTTTCTTGCTGTCAGCTCTGAGGGAGTAAAGCTACTCTATTGATCTTATCCAATTATTTCTGTGCATCACTGAACCAGGCCACAATCCAGAAGCATTGCTCCATATCTCAAACATGGTGAAATTCATGCTCAAGGAGCTCTATCTTGCCCTCCTGAGATAGATTTACTAAGATGGTTGTGTTTTAATAGTATGAGCCCATAAGGAAAAGAATGCCAATATGGTAGGAAAAAAAAACTGACTCTGTGATTCTCCTGCACAGACCTCTGCAACTATCCTCCAGTAAGGGGGCACTGCAAGTCAAATTTGTTCAGATTCTACTACAACACTTTGACATTTAATTGTGAACCCTTCATCTTCTCTGGCTGTGGAAGCAACAGAAACAACTTTAAACATAAATATCTTTGTGAAAAATTTTGTCTTCCTAAAAAGTAAGTCTCTTTGTACCTTGCCCATCTATTAATAACACTGAATATTACGAATTATGGTTTTTCATGAGAAATCAAGTAAGAGGCAAAGAAAGATGAGTAAGGAATGAATGCACCTGTTTGAGAATATTTCAGACTCATAAATTTCAGTGTCCTGATTTGTTTGGTCCAGCAACACTCCCAAAACTGAAAATTGAGGGCAGGGATTTAGCTCAGTGGCACAGTGCTTGCCTGGCAAGCATGAGGCCCTAAGTTTGATTATCAGTACAGCATCTCCCTCCAAAAAAAAAAAAAACTATGAAAATCAAATCTCAGAGAAGCTCGCTCAGAAAAAGAATTTTTTTTTCTGGCAATTGAACTCAGGCCCTTGAACTTGCCAGACAAGAAAAAGAATTTAGGTGTGATGGTGTATACCTGCTATTCTATCACTCTGAGAGCCTGAGGCAAGAGGACTGTGGTGAGTTGGAGACCAGCCTAGGTAAGTTAGCAGCTTAACAAGACCTTCAAAAACATTTTTTAAAAAGGAGTTGAGGCCATCTGTGGTCTCACATGCCTGTAATCCCAGAACTCAGGAGGCTGAGGCAAGAGGAACACAGCAAGTTAGAGGTCATCCTGAGCAACACAGGAGTCCAAGGATAGCCTGAAATACATAATGAGACCCTGTCTCAAAATATACACAAGATAGGGGGCCTGGCCATAGCTCAGGCCTTTAAGTGGCTGCTTCCACAAAGCTGTGAGCCTCAGGTTGCTGGAGTTCGAACCTCACACTTCTCCAGCTGGCCAAAAGTGCCCTGAAGGCATTCGAGGAAAAAAAAAAAAAAAAAAACCTTATTCCAAAATATACACAAGATAGTTAGGATATTTATACAGCTGTTTTCTCTTAGTTCATTCATTGAGAAGAAAGGTTTGTACTAATATTTTAGACAAGATATCATGTCTGCATCTCATCTTCTGAATAACTACTATGAAGAAAACAATATGCAATGTATTAATTATTGTAACTGTTCTACTAACCTGTTTTGAAACTGTTTCATTGCTATTTTATTTTTTTCTCATTAAAATGAATAATTTTTTTTAAAAGTAAAAGAAGAGGATTTGGAGATATGGCTTAGTGCGAATGCCCTAGGTATAATTTTTCAATGCTGCCAAAAAAGAGAGAGAGAGAGAGGAGGAAGTAGAGATAATGATTGATTCATGCCCCTTAATTGTGTATCTTAATATTATCATGATGGCCACAGGTCATTGAGAGTCTATTCAACACCTTTGTTTCACAGTTCAGTGAAGTTCAGTTCAGTGAGAATGTCAGGAAAACAGAGAATGACATTGATCAGCATTCAGAATTTGTAGTGAATGGCTGAACAATGGTTTTACACTCAAGAGCAGAGACATCATTTCATTAATATGTAGATACTCAGAGTCTACTACTATATCCACTTATTAATTGTTTATGAATAATTTATTGGTAAAGTTTGGGGGTTTTAATGGCATTTATTAATGATGGCAATAGTCACAAAATTTGCTTATGTTTTAACAGGGACAGACAAGGTGGTGGAGAATCAAGAAAATAATATAACAGAAGACAGAAACAAAGAAGAGTAGTATGAAAAAAATATGCTAAAGTTAATCTCAGCAAATAAATTGGACATTTCTGAAAGCAAAGTTCTGGCATCCTATAGATCTTATTCAAAGCCTAAAATTCAAAATCATGCTGTGTCAAATAAAATTTTGTTCTAAGGCCTGACATCACAGGACCTAGTCTACCTGGTACCCATTCATGGGATCTGAAGATTTTCCTCACCTTGCTTGTTGTGAAGCACAGTATTATATAAGCAAGACTGAGGTGCCATTTCTTTTTGGGGAGGCAGAGGGAGATTGAGACAGGGTACTTCAGTGTAGTTCAAGCCAAATGTTAATTCACTATGGAGCCCAGGCTAACCTCAAACTCTCAATGCTCTTGCTTCAGCCTCCCGAGTACTGGGATGATAAGCATGTGCCACCATGCATGGCACTAAAAAGTCTGTTAGAACTATGTTCTAGTCCAAATAATTACCATAAGTAAAATATACTCTGAAAGCCAAGCCTAGTGGGAGATACCTGTAATCCCTGCACTGTGGTGAGTGTGGGAGGAGGATCACCACAAATTTGAGATCAGGTTAGTATACAAAATGAGTTGAAAGACAGCCTACCTGGATATGATAGCACATGCTTATATCTTAATACTTGGGAGACTGAGAAAGAAAGGCGGCTATTGGTTGAAATCCAGTCTGGGCTACACAGTAGGTTCAAGACCAATTTGAACTATATAGTAAGACATGTACACACACACACACACACACACACACACACACACACACAGGCTAGTCTAGACTACAAAGTGAGGCAATGTCTTAAATCAAAAAACTACACTCTGAAAACAATAACAAATGATCCTAGGCATTCCAGTGTCGCATCTTGAGACTTCTCCGAAACTCTTAAATAAAGGTCTGTGTGGTGGTGCACACCTGCAATCCCAGCAATCTAGAAGGCTGAGGCCAGAAGAATGTAAATTCAATCCTAGCCAGACCAATTTAGTGAGACTCAGTCTCAAAATTTCAAAAAGGGAAGCAGAATCTGAGAAGTAATTCAGTGTGAAGTCCTTAGGTTCAAACCCCATTGTAACCAGACCCACATTATAGTCTGGCTTTCATATTTATTTAATGAGAATGTGAAAAGAAAGACATGGAGCTTAAGTGACTACACAGCAAGTCATACTTTTCTTTTATCTAGAATTAACAGTGTTTTATCACCAAGCATTTATTTTTTTAATTTGTAATTTTTATTTTTCAATAATTTCTACACTGATTTCCACAGAGGTTGTCAGCCTGCACTCTTACCAACAGTGAAGAGGGGTTCCCTTTCTCCTACAGTTTCCCCAACATTTGTTATTGACTGACTTCTTTGTGATGGCCATTCTTTCTGGGGTGCAGTGGAATCTCAGTGTTGTTTTCATTTACATTTCTTGGATTACCAAAGTTGTTGAACGCTTTTTCATATATTTTTTGCCACTTGTGTTTATTAATCTGAGCAGTGTGTATTTATTTCATTAATTCATTTTTGGATTGGGTCTTTGAATTTTGGAGGTCTGATCTTTTAAAATTCTTTATACATTTATTAAAACCCTATTTAATATTTAAAATACAAAACCATTGCAAGAAAGTAAGCAGAAAAGGTAGGGGGAGCCAAGTACTGCCTGTGGCACTGAAGGAAGTTATTCACAAGTACTGGCTAAGATCATTGACAAGGCACAGAGACATAAGAAGCAAAGTGCCAGGGAGAGCAGTCCAAAACATCTGAACAGGATTTGAAAGACGTGACCTGGGGATCTGAAGACTCTGAAACTCACTAGACCGATGTTCACCCCTACCCAACTCCACACTCATGGATTTGGTGCCCTGGTTGAATCCACTCTGCATTTTGTTTCTTATTGGGAAGGGGCAGCAGAGGCCTCTATAAACCAGCCAACTTAATCACAGGCCAACACCAAGAGAGAAAAGATGAGTCTGGAGGGGTTGGCAGCTCCAGGGAAAAAATAATGGACCAGGTCAGCAGCACTAGCCCCCCAGAAAAGGTCACAGTTATTATTTTACTCCAAAAGTGACACCTTCCACATGGAAGACTAGAGTTAGAGAAGAAATCGAGTACAGCATCCATCATATTTGAGCATTTGCCCCCAGGGCATGCTGAGACAGGGATTGAGACTGGGCATGGTAACACGCATCTGTAATCCCAGCACTTGGAAGGCTGAAGACAGGAGGATCACTATGAATCCAATCTGTGTAGTAAGACCCTGTAGACCCTGTATTGAATACATAAAAATAACAAAATTGATGCAGAAATAGGATATTTCCATGACAAAGGACACCTTGAGAAGTTCATGACCACCAAACCAGAAGTCCAGAAAGTTCTCAAGAATTCCTAGAAAGAGAAAATAAAGCCAATAATGCCAAAAAGTCTAATAATATGAATATATCAGACAGAGTGAGCAGTCAAGCAGAAGACAAGAAGGAAATCCACAACATGAAATTAATGCAAGGACAGGCATAAGTCAATATCGTTCAGTAATAACTTTCAATGGAAGTGGTCTCAATTACCCAATCAAAAGACACAGATCTGCAGATTGGATCAAAACAGAAAATAAAATGGTATCCTCCCAACCTGGACAGGCAGAACAAAAAAAGTCAAAATGACCATATTTCTAAACCTTATACACACATTTAATGCAATCCCAAACAGAATACTAGTAGCATTCCTCACAGAACTAAGGAGAATAATCCTAAAATTTATATGGAGCCAGAAGAGACCCAGAAGAGCAAAAGCAATCCAAAACAACAAGAGCAAAGCAGGAAGCATTACAATCCTGGCCTATATTACAAAGCTAC